AAGGGAAGGGGAAGGGTGGTGTGAGGGGGGAAGGGCTTGAGGGGGGAGTGGGGCAGGGGAGGGGGAAGGCACAAAGAGGAGGAGGGCTGCAGTTCGCTCTCCCCTCCAGCAGGGGGCGCTGCGCTCTCCCGTGCCCCTCACGCTGCCGGCCCCTCCAGCCCGCGGGAGCCGTGCAGCTCGATGGTCGCTGGCCGTCTCCTAGCAGCAGCCCCCTCGCTGCCAAGGCCGCCGCGCGTTGTCCGTGGGGTCGGGCGGCAGCCGGGCCCGGCCCCCCTGGGTAGGTGTCGGGAGGGGCGCGAGCGAGGGCCCGCCCTCCGCAGGTGCAGGAGGCGGGGCCACGCCCGCGCAGGTGACGCGTGCGCAGCCGGGGTGAGCCCGTACGGCGCAGCGCGTGAGGAGCTGGCCCCAATCCTCAGGTACAGGAGCGGGGGTGGGGGGCTGCTCTCTAGGTGGCTGCCCGCCGGGAGGGGAGGTCCCCCAGGGATGAGGAGCCGTGAGGGGAATCCCCCAGTCCCACCCCCACCCAGGTAGTCGCCCCTCCCGTGGGGCCTGGCAGAGCCCCCTGCTCCTAGCCCAGAGCAGGGCCCTGCAGGGCCTGGCTGGCTGGCGGGACTCTCCCTGGCGACCTCGTGGCCCAGTGGCCGGGCTGACGATGGGCATTTGTCCCTGCAGAGCAGGGACATGGGGGGCAGCCACATGCCCTGCCCTGACCTGACCTGTGGGTGGGTTGAAGAGCCACCATCACACAGCATCTCACAACCAGAAATGGGGGGCTGGAAGGGGCCTTGAGAGGTTGTCTAGTCTAGCCCCCCACGCCAAGCAGGACCTAGTGACATTGGACCATCCCTGATGGTGTTTGTCCAACCTGTTCTTAGAAACCTCCAGAGATTCCCCAGCCTCCCTAGGGAGCCTTGGTCCAGTGCTTACCTGTGTGCCGTATCCCTGTATAATTCTCCTTAGAACAGGAAACCGATTAGAGATTTGTGTTCCCAGTATCCAGCAGCAATAGTCTTGGAGTACATCTGGGCCTGAGTCTGGTCTCTCTTGTGCACGCACCTGTATAACTCTTTGATTAATGGAATTATTTCTGATTCACAGTGATGTAAGTGTCACCAGGTTCAGACTCTGTCACACACACTCTGCTTCCTGATCCCAGCACCATAGAAATATTGTGTAAGTTGCTTACTCACATGCATTCTTATCACTTACCAGTACAGAGTCTTTGTGCCATTCATTTACCATTTTGTCTTGGAAACCTTCATGCTGCCACTGTTAAAAAAAATAGTAAATACTATATTAATAATCCTCTGTACTCTGAAATCTAAGTATACTTCCTTCTGTAGTATCATTCTGCCCTACTAGCTGCTGGGTGTGGAGACTTTAAAACATTTCCAGATGCATCTAATCCCCAGTAGAGCTACAGAAATATGTTGTCTCCTTTTTTAGGAAAATTCAAGACAGTGTACGGTGAGGATTTGTTAAAGGAAATTTCAGAGTTTACATGGAGCGCCAGGTATCATAAATCTATAAACAGTTTGAAAAGTGCTTCTGGCACAAAATACAATGAATTTGAGATGATTTTCCTCCTCATTGATGTAGAACAAAGTACAGTTAGTGGAGTTTTTCAAAAGTGTAGCTGCAAAACTGGCTAGATCACAAATACTAGATATGGTGATAACATTTCTTAAGTGTCTTTTATCTCTATTACAATAAACTGAGGAATGGGAACAGCACCTGAACTTTGTGCTGTTTTGTTACCAATTGTTTTGTTAGAATTGGAAAAGGTACAGAGAAGGGCAACAGAAATGATTTAAGTGTATGGAACAGCTTCCAAATATGGAAAGATTAAAAAGACTGGGACTTTCAGCTTGGAAAAGAGACAACTAAGGGGAGATATGATAGAGGTTTATAAAATCATGAATGATGTGGAGAAAGTGAATAAGGAAGTGTTATGTACTCCTTCACATACCACAAGGACCAGGAGTCACCCAATGAAATTAATAGGCAGCAGGTTTATAACTAACTAACAAAAGTAGTTTCTTCTTCACACAATGCACAGTCAACCAGTGAAACTCATTGCCAGGGGAGGTTGAGAAGGCCAAAAATACAATGGTGTTAAAAAAATAATTAGATAAAATCATGGAGGACAGGTCCATCAATGGCTATTATTAGGGCGCTACCAATTTCAAGGTCCATTTTGGTCAATTTCATAGTCATAGGATTTTAAAATTAGTCAATTTCATAGTTTCAGATATTTACATCTGAAATTCCACTGTGTTGTAACCATGGGGGTTCTGACCCCAAAGGGGGCCATAGAGGGTTGCAAAGCTGTTGTAGGGGTGGGTCACTGGATTGCCACCCTCACTTCTGCATTTCCTTCAGAGCTGGGCTCTGAAGGCAGGCACCACGGAGCTTCCTGCAGCTGCGGGAGGTACCCAGAGCTGGATCTGATCTCCCCCCCCCCCCCCCCGAAACGCGGCTGTGCAGGGAAGAGGAAATCCTGTCCCTCCCCAGCCCTGCTGAGACTAGCAGCTAGAGCCTGGTAGGAGTCCCCGGCTGGGGTGCCCCCTGCTCCTCCCCTCCAATAGCTAGATTTTACGGAGGAGATTTGATTTCACGGTCCGTGACTCATTTTTCACAGCTGTGGATTTGGTGGGGCCCAACTATTTGATAAGATGGTCGGGGATACAGCCCCATGCTCTGGGTGTTCCTAGCCTCTGACTGCCAGAAGCAAGGAGTGGACAAGGGGATGGATCACTCAATGATTGCCTGTTCTATTTGTTCACCTCTGAAGCACCTGGCATTGGCCACTGTTGGAAGACAGGATACTGGGCTAGATGGACCCAGTATGACCATTCTTATGTTCAGCCTTTTCATTTGGACTAATATCTCTAATGTCTGTAACTTGAAGTCTTTAAACTATGATTTGAGGACTTCAGTAACTCAGCCAGAGGCTAGGGGTCTATTAAGTAGGGGAGAGGGGAGGTTCTGTGGCCTGCAATGTGCAGGAGGTCAGATTAGAGCTAGATAGGGGGACCAGATGTCCCAATTTTATAGGGACAGTCCCGATTTTTGGTTCTTTTTCTTATATAGACTCCTATTACCCCCCACCCCCATCCCTATTTTTCACACTTGCTGTCTGATCACCCTAGAGCTAGATGATCACGATGGTCTCTTCTGACCTTAAAGTCTGAGTCTAATCTCTTTTTGTGAGCGCACTTCATTTTTAAACTTTTCAATGTAAACATTCGGAGCTTGGCATTTGAACTGCCAGGCTTATAAGTAGTGAAATATTTGACACTTTCTGAAAAGTCTGTTTCTCTTCTAACTTCTTACCTGTTATTTATGAAATACTCAAAAAGGGTTTGTTTTTGTCTTATTTATTTTCAGGTCCCTTTTGGAAAGCATGCAACTGAAGCCATGAGTACAAATAAACAGTGGGATGTTAACAAAGCGCTGGCTGTTGCCAGCCTCTTCCATTTTCTTTACAGTGCAGGAAACGCCTGTGTGATTCCATTTTTAACTCTTTACTTCCGGCAACTGGGGTTGACTGCCCCTTTAGTAGGTATTATCATTGGAATTAAGCACTTAATATCATCTCTCTGGGCTCCACTATGCTCCTACTTTGCAAAGAGCCACAGTAAAAGGAAAGTTCTCATTACTGGATCATTGCTGTGTTCAGTGGGAACCGGTTTGCTGCTTACACTTGTCCCACCTTTGAGCAAGGATGTCATGTACAAATATTGTAATATAAGCCAGCAATCAAGTAGCTTGCTGAATGCAGTAGAGGTCCCTGACATGAGTCTGAACAATCTGAGTGCTGTAAATCCTAGTACTGTTACCAATAACGAAATGGTGTCTGCAGAAACGCTAAGAACAGCTACAAATGTTTTGGTGACGAGTGGAAAGCCACCGCTACCGAGTTCAGCTTTCCAAGAATTGTTTACCTTCTTTACAGATGCACAGAAGACGAATGGTAAACTAACTGGTGAAGTGGGTATAACTGCAGACCATTACAATAATAGGTCTTCTGCCAAGATAGTTTCTTCAGTGAATGCAATTAACCAGATGATACAAGAACTTGAGACACTCACTTCAAATGAAACACCAATCCATAGGCTTGAGAAGGAAACCAAAATTCCAGAGGCTGGGCTGTTGAATGTGAATAGTAATCCTGAGAAAAAACTTTCTGTTGGTGGAAGTACTGAATTTTCTTTACTTCAAACAAACCCTCACCCTGCTGGTCGAGCTTCTTATGTTTTTGAAAATCTGTCGAGTCACTGGGAGAAAGTTCGGGATGTCAATTTTGAGCTCTTACAAGATATTAACTTTCTTGACCGTGAGCACCAGATTTTTCTCATGGTGCTAGGTGCTGTTGTGTTTTGGGAGCTGTTGGCTGCACCTCTTGAATGGATGGTTGATGACAGTCTTTATGAATATCTTGACTTTGTTGATGCAACTGACCGATATGGGAAGCTTTGGATTTGGAGTTATTTGGGTGCATCTGGAGGAGCCTGCAGTATCACCATATTTGTAGATCAGTTGAACTGCTTCCTCAGTGCTAAAATCTCTCGTCTCGCTGTGCACTTCTATGGCTATGCTGTACTGATCACACTCACATTGCTCATCAGTGTCTTTCTTCCTATCCATGTTTCCAAGAAAACAGAGCATCTGAACAAAACTGTCAAAGCTCTGAACCTCATTGGAAGTGATGGCCGAACAATTCTGTCTGCTGTCACCGTCTTCCTTACAGGAGTCATTGGATCTACTGTGCAGAATTTTCTCTTCTGGCAAATGCAGGACCGAGGCAGCAGTGAATTATACATGGGTCTCTCGGTGGCTATCGGACTGATTGCTGAAATTCTGCTTTATATCTTCAAAAGCAAGTTACTAAGGGCTCTTTCAAGTAGTGGTACTGTTGCACTGAGTTTAAGCTGCCTTTCAGCACAGCTTCTGTACTATTCGTTCCTATGGAATGCGTGGTCAGTACTGCCTATTCAGATGTTGTGTGCCTTCAGCAACGGTGCCTTATGGTGGGCAGTTAATATGTTGGTTGACGATGTAGCCAGTCCTGGGACAGAGAGAGCTCTGCACATCGTCCTCCAGGGCCTCTCATATGGTTGTGGAGCTAGCCTGGGAAGCTTTGCAGGAGGGTTTGTTGTGAGCAACTTTGGCTTGGCAGTTCTGTACAGGGCATGCTCTATAAGTTTGGCACTGTGGTTAATCTTGTTCCTGATTGTCCAGTCTAAGTTGCCTCGGCAGAAAAAAATTAATTATTCTCGTCTCCTGGCTGCAGATCCTAGTGATGAGAGTGACTCTGACGAGGAGAAGGAAAGGGACTGGCTAGTGAAAGCTATGAAAGATGAGAACTTCAGTAGGAATTGGTAACATAATCATATTTGATCAGCTATTCTGCAGTAGAACAAATTCAGAGTACAAAGGTAAAATTATTAGGCAGGAGGGAAAGAAATGCCCAGGAATGACTAATAATTCCTAAGTGGTGGAATATACAGTGTACATACTTGCTTGGAAAGCTGTGTATAAAGACCATGTTTTATAAATCTTTTATTTTCTTAAGATTAATTTATAGTAAATATTTGTAGCATTTTTTAACTTAATCATTACGTTTCCCAAATCCAAGTGGAAGGCCTTTTGAGATGTGCATTTGCTAAAATAAATGCAGTTAAGCTTTTAATCCAAAGGCAGAATTTGGATGCACATTTCTCAGAGCTATAGCTGCTGACATTGGGAGCTGTACCTTAGCACAGTCGAATCAATTTAAAAAAAAAATATTTACAGTGCACTAAAGTCAGTAAGGAACCATCCCTCCCAGGCTCAGTCTACAACAAACAAGGATTATTAATGAAAGAAACACCCTGTTGGCTTTAGTTTGACCTCTAAAATCAGTCTTGCTATAGGCTTGGTCAGCAGTGAAAAATTATATTGGCATAGCTACGTCGGTCAGGGGTGTGAAAAAACATAGCTCTGGTGACACAACCCCTAGTGTGGATGCAGCTATGTCACCAGAAGTGCTTCCGTTGATCTAGCTAATATGTTTGGGGAAGTGTCATGGTCAGAAAAAACCCTATTGTTGGCATAGGCGGCATCTACACTAGGAGCTCTGCTGGCATAACGTCCATAGTTAGACACAGCCATAGACTGCACATGTTTATGATGGCAGTGTAGTCTAGTGGATAGAGCACCAGATGGTCTCAGAAGACTTGGCTTCCTCTGCCACTGGTCTGCTGGATGACTTTGGAAAAGTCACTTTCCCTTCCTGCACCTCAGTTTTCCCTATCTGTAAATGATACTGACCTCCTTTGTAAAGGGCTTTGAGGTCTATGGATTAAAGAGCTAGGTGTTTATGGTTGTTGTTTAGCTAGGGGTGTAATTGTTGAGGTGGCTGTGAAGACAATGTTGACAAATAACTGGGCTTTCTTATAGTCAGTATTTTTAAAAAGGGTGGCTGGAGTACACTCCCAAATGTTGGCTCACTGAATTCAACAAAGCATCATGTGTCCTGGGGCCTCTGAGGACCATCTATTTCATCTTGATCTGAGTAGCCTCTGCTTGGATCAATATGCAGTAATGCGTGCTGGTGATCTATGTGTATACTTGGGGCATGGTATTCACAAAAGTGCTTAGCACTGGACTGAACTGCTCCCATTTAAATCAATAGGATCATTGACTTCTGTGGGAGCACAGTTGGGCCCAGGCTGAGTGCTTTTGAAAATCTCACCCATATAGTCCCCATCACTGGAGTATTGCAAACCTTAGTAAATCATCCTTGTAAGATTGGGAAGTAGCATCATCTGCACAGAAAGATGGAATGACTTGCCCAAGGTCACACAAGGTGTTTGTGGCGGAGCTGAATCCAGCTCTCCGAAGTCCCAGCACACTGCTATAACCACAGTGCTATCCTTCCTCTACCTGAACTCTGTGCAGACTGCATCTCCATATTAAGGATAGAGATGGATAGAGCACCATCTTTTATATCTTTCAAAAGATAGCTGCTATCTGCTTTATTTTGTGCAAGTTAAACGTGGCACTTTTTACACCCCTTTGATTGGGGTAAGTTTCGGCAACCTGTATTTTTAGAATACACTATGCAATGCATTTGGACAGGAATATATCTGCAGTTCTCAGGGGCCGTAAACGAGTAACTTTAAAGAGCCCCTGAGATTTGTCCAATTATAATCTCAAAAGCATGTAAATTCCAGCATAGTTTCTTCATAGGCACTTACAAAATAAAAATGATATGGCTGACCTCACCAAAAGGTCCATATTAGACCTCATTAAAAATGGGCCATGAGTCTCTTTGCCCTTCAGGCTAAGGTTGAGTGTAGTGCCAGTGTAGTAGTTATATCATCTTTCAAAAGTTTACATCCTTCCTTTTCAGAGGAATGGGGTTTAATACTTAGTGGGTGTTTAGATATAGTTTGCTAGTTCAGGCTTAAAGTTTTACAAACCATGAGAGTGGTAGCTGCAAGCAAGCTGAATATTTTGGCACATATAACATGCAATAGAAGCAGGGCTCATAAAAGAGCTGTTAATAAAATAATATGCACTTGGCTTAATGAATGCTTGACCTAGCACCTTTCTAATTCAGTAGGAAGTGGTACAGAAGTGACCAGCAAGGAAAGGGGATACCATTGAATGGTATTTTATTGCTAATTACACATCAATAACAACTGATCTGCGTGTCAGATCATTTCAGCCCAACAAGCTGCCTTCAGCTTGCTGGCACAAATCCACTTTGCCTTGCAGTATACTCTACTAGAAATGCTTTATATAGAGAATTGTCCTAGTGCCAAGAACAGCTATAAAACTTATTTTATCTTGTTCATCAGAAGGGAAAAAAAATGTTACTGTCTCATAGGAATTCAAACCAAACAAGCTGGTTTAGCGCTAGTTACTTATTTTTAAAAAGTTAAAAGGTATCTGACAGCAACCATAAGTAAAATAAAGAAGTTGCAAATGCAGTATTTAAAGGGACAGTGGCTGTTAAACACTCTGATATGTGGGGATGTTTAGAAAAGTGAGAGAACTTAAATTTGGCCCCAAATTTAGTAAAAACATGCTTTTGTAAAACCTCAGACCAATGGAAATGTACATTTTTAAAGTCCAGTGAAAATAGGTTTTTTTAATCAGAAACAGTCCCCTTCAGTGGTTGAAACTCTAGATTTTACAGCACAAAAAAATCTGGAAGTGAAACTGACTCAGTGCTCTTCTACAACAGACCTTAACTACGTCTGTTTCTACTTAAATCTGTGCAACACCCTTGTGTAGACACTTCCTCACCCCTTTCTCTGCTTGAGGCTGTGTCTATCTCTGCAGTACTCTCAGCCCCAGCAATGAAAAGTGAGGGGCTGTTTGCAGAATAATAGGTGATTCTCCTGCCCTTTAGAGGCTCAACTTGCTGGTTCAACAGCATTCCCAGGCCCTTCTACCCAGCAGAGCAAGGGGCAAAATGTAATTGTCCTTGACATTCACTTAACTCCTTTTAGTTGTTTTTTCTAGCTGTAATTCCATTTGCTTTAGTTGGTTTCTGTCATATCCCTAGCATTCTTTTAACAACTATGAATCTTGTCAAGGCTTTTAATGCTATTAGGACTAAAAAAACAACAACCCCATATCAACTAAACTGCCATTGTGTAGAGTAGGTATTCAGTCTCTTGTAAAATAAGTGATGAATGGCTACACTTGGTGGATTTAGAAATACACCCACATCAACAACATGTATTTAGATCACTTACTAATAGCCCCAAATTTTTAATGAAATTCCTGCATGGATGTTTTCCTGTTGCACTATCATTTATTATTATTTACAGTATTAACAGGAGTGTTGTATGTATGATATGGGAGCTAATTGTTGTTGGACATAGTACTCCAAGAGGCCGCACTTGGAGTACTATGTCCAGTTTGGGGCACCACACTTTAAGAAAGATGTGGACAAATTAGAGAGAGTCCAGAGGAGAGCAACAAAAATGATAAAATATTTAGACAACCTGACGTATTGGGAAAGGTTAAAAAAACTGGATGTGTTTAGTCTTGAGAAAAGAAGACTTGGGGGCGGGGGCTGTGGAGACCTGATAAGTCTTCAAATATGTAAAAGGTTGTTATAAAAAGGATGGTGAACAATTGTTCTCCATGGCAACTGAAGGTAGGACAGGAAGTAATGGGCCTAATCTGCACCAAGGGAGATTTAGGTTAGATATTAAGAAAAAAATTCTAACTATAAGCATAGTTAAGCACTGGAATAGTCTTCCAAGGGAGATTATGGAATCCCCGTTTTTTGAGGTTTTAAGAGCAGATTAGATTGATTTTTAGTAGGCAAGGCCTCAGTCACTAAAATTAGCAGATTGGTTGTGTAAGAAAGTGCCAACATAGTCACTTTGCTGACCATAACTAATCTTTAAACGCTGCAGAGCACTACACAACTCTGATTCGAATAGCCAGAATTTAAATAACTGGTTGCTTCATCTTATATTTTGATTTTTATCACTGAATCCTAAGAAAACTACCTTCTACAACATTCTAGGTTCTAGCTTTTTCATCTGTGTCCTATACAAGCATTGTAACCAGAGCTGTGTGCAGCAGGGTGGCTTCATTTCACAGTGTGACGTTGCAGACTTTTCCCTTAGTTTCTATTCATGTGTGGTTCACATTCTCTGAGATTTCCTTACAGTTGCAGGTTCCAACAGAACTACAATCTCAAAGCAAAACTCAGGTGAAATTGTAAATTTTTCATGCCTTTGATTCAGAATTGTAAGGATTGTCCTGGGTGCTCCAAAAAGATTCATTGGACTCAGCAAACCTTTCCACAAAGCTTTTTTCACTCTGGAGTTTGTAATGAAATATAAAGCCAGGTGAGTTTCTAGAAAGGATTTCAGGTTTTGTAATGAACACTTTCCCCAGCTCTGCTTGTAACAAATACATCTCTTCTAGTCCATTTCCTTAGGGTGGCTCCAGTTAGCTGTAACTTCACAAGAATGTCAGATATTTTCAGTATCAGGGGGTACTGAATCTGCCCTCTTTTATCATGGAATATGCTGCCTTTCAGGCATCATGTGCACTCTCTCAAACACCACTAAGACTTTCCATATTACTTTACCATGAAGTCAGCATACAGTAGATATTGCTACATTCATTCAAATGGACACATTTTTAAAGAAGCCTCAACCCAGTTTCTACTTGTTCAGGGGCTGAGACTAAGTCTTCCTATGTGTGTGTACACTGCTTAGCTTAACTGGCCTCATTCCTCATTGGGACCTCTGTACACTACTGTAATACAAATACTGTTATTGTGCCCAAAGTCAATGATGCATACAAATTAGGTAAAGAAACGCCTAAAATGCTAATAGTTTTTAACCCAAAAATAGAGGCTAGATTGAGGCACCTTTACAAATTTAATCTTAATATCTTCATCTGTAATATTTAGAAATGTTTCTGCTATGGCTGTGGATTTCTAGTATAACAGTTTGCTTTCTCCATCTATTCTAACTTCCTTCCTCTAGGGTGTTTATAGTGACGATCACTCTAGTATCTAAAACTACTCCCTTCTATTTGGGACAGCAGTCTACCGGGGAGATAATGTTAGATGGCTAGTGAAAAAGTATAGTCATGTGATCCAGCCAGCCAGGTAACAGAACTTTGTATGTTCGTGATTTGATTGGACATAGGATGAATTAAAAAACATCTGTAATTAACTTCTGAGCCAATCATGTTGCTGTTGTTTGCATATGCAATCTAATTACACCTCTACCCCGATATAATGTGACCCGATATAACACGAATTTGGATATAATGCGTTAAAGCGGTGCTCCGGGGGGGACGAGGCTGCGCACTCCGGCGGATCAAAGAAAGTTCGATATAA